ACTGTTGTGGCCTCTCCCGTTGCGGAGCACAGGCTCCGGACGTGCAGGCTCAGCCGCCATGGCTCACGGGCCCAGCCGCTCCGCGGCATGTGGGATCTTCCCGGACCGGGGCAAGAACCCAAGTCCCCTGCATCGGCAGGCGGACTCTCAACCACTGCGCCACCAGGGAAGCCCTCTTGATCTGATTTTTAAAAAGCAGTGTTGCACAGCCATCAAACAAGTTACAAAGTTAATGTGCTTCCTCTCTAACCATTCTGAGTATGGTTGGGCACATTTTTGTATTTACAAGAAAGGAAGAATAAAGTGATAAACATATATCCCAAGTTATTAAAACATGGCATTTGGGTTTGAGACTTCTTTTCTTTCAGCAACTATTTTCTTTCAGCATCAGTTAACTATTAAATCTTTCTACAAAGATGGGTAGTAATGGAGGATCAGCCAAAGCAAAGAAGAAAGACAGAACAGGTAAGGGAAGAAAAATATGTGCTGGCTAGTTCTTCAGCTCAGGGTAAGGAGTTTCTTTTAACCCTTGGTCTGGCATAAAAAAAAAAATAAAATTATTCATCTTAGAATAGCTTCTGCTGGTTCTGGCAATGACTATTTTAAAGGAGAATTGTGTAGAATAAACCCATTTCTTGATACTTTAAATGACAAGATTTAGAAAGTAAACAGTGACTCTTAAAGATCTTTTTTAGACTAGGTGTTATCAATGCACAAAAATGATTTAACTTTGCTTAGAATTCTTTGCTACTGCTTCAGAACTCCTTACATTTATGTTGCCATGAATTACTATAATGCTGTATAACATAGTTATTTGAAACTCAATTTGACAGATCGACTTTGTTACTCACTAGGGTTTCCCTTTAAGATTAGGAGCTACCAAAACTAATAAAATAGGTTAAGGAATCTAAAAAGAAAAAAAATCTACTTTTTCCTTTTAAACTTTAACGTATAATTCTTGAGAACATGGAAACACTGAATTTGGTCTCCAAACCAAAAATGCTCAGGGTCTAACAAATCATGTGATCAGTTTTTTTCAACATAGTTGAATCTTTTTAAGTTAAAGAAATGATTTTTCAACTGGAATTTTTCAAAAAGTTGCCAATATCTAAATCTATTTTTAAAAAATCTTTCATTTGATGAGGAAGCAACATACGAAATGGTTAAACTTGAAATACATGGTTTTACATAGAAAAAATAGATATACATATAAATTTTGATAACATTCGTTATTCAGGGTGGTTGACTATCAAATTTTATTAAAATTTCATCAAGAGGGAAATCTCAAAACACTTATTATGCTCCACAATTATTATAAGCCAAACAATTTAAATGAGAGGAGGAGATAACAACATTAACTTCTTAACTTAAAGCAATCCTCTGTGGCATAATTTTAAAATATTTTCTTGGCCTGAAATTTATGTAAATTGAATTCATCTATCATTAGTTATTATCAGCCTAGCTACATTAAAAAAAGTTTTCTGTGACAATTGGTTCTTAAAAACACTGTTTTAATTAGACCTGGGACATTATTAAACTAGCTAATAAATATGTACAGTAGTTTATTTGGTATACCCAGATGTCTGAAAACCAACAAGAACGCCCAAATAGTTCTTTCTTCAAAACTTCTTCTAGTAAAAGGCCTTCATTCAAAGTTTTAATGTAATCCAAAATAAATAGCCTTTTCACACTCTATGCTTTAAATACAACAGAAATGGTCACTCATAACCAGAGAATAATCATTGAATCAGTGTATCTTAGAATTATAGGGCTTAGTCACAGATAACCAATTTCTTCATTTTATGAATGTCCATGGTCATGCACAAAAAATTCATGGTAGAACTTGGACAAAACCTAGACCAGTTATTTCTACTACATCATTCAAGCATTTTTTATAGATTATCCCATTTAATCCTTACCTCAACTGTATAGTTTAGGTACTATCATTACCCCATTTTATATATATGGAAGGTTTTGTGGTTAGAATAGTATTCAGTCAAGTAAGGATTTAAACCCAGTCTGACTCTAGAAACCATCCTACTACCAATAATTCTAAATTTTAAGGATAGGTGAATATTTTTCATTTATAAAGAAAATAAAAAAAAAAAAAACTCTTAACAAGTACCACCCTTTAGAATAACAAAATAAAACATGAAGGTTATAGTTTGGAATTTTCCTCCTCTAAAATAAGTCCTTTTACCCAAGCCCAACTCAAGCACCAACTTCTCCCTGAAGCCTTCTCATATCATTCAACTAAGCTTAATCTTTCTTCAAACTCTTGACAAATGCTATACACTGCTCTTTTGCACAAAAGCACTAGCTGCCTCTTATACATTCTCTTCTTCCTTAGTTACAGAAATTCAGTTTGTAGCTCTTACCAATTTGCCACATGTCCCAGCCTCTCCAGTGGCTGGGTAGGATCATATGACTAAGTTCTGCAATAAGATATTACTGCAAGTATGGTGTTGGAGTTCCAGGAATGCTGTTTAAAGAAAGCAGACTTAGCTTTTAGGGGAGCTCTTTTGTGCTTTCCCAAGGTAAAGACCTTGCTATCCAGGTTTCTTTTTGGCTGGAGCTCCAGCAGCTATCTTGTACCATAAGGTAACATTGATGAAGGCAGCTGTGTGCTGTGGATGGTGCAGGAGAAAGATGGTTGTCTCTGTACACAATGAGACCATGAAGCTCCCATGACAGCCTCCTTCCAGATTTTACATAACAGAGAAATAAACATTTACCTTTGTCCAAGCCACTATTTTTTTTTTTCTGGTAAATAAGCTGAGCCTAATTCTAACTGATTTAGTTCAGACTTGCACATAGTTCATAATCCAAGGTTTGTTGTAACTATGGTGGAGAGGGAAGAAAAAGAAATAGAATTATTTCTCTTACAACACTGGAGCAAAACATCTCCAATCATAATTTTTATTCTCAACCCCTTCTGGTAATTTTCAGCTTTGGGAAAGAAAAAGGAGGGAAAGGAAGGGGAAGGTGAAAAAATGGAAGACGCTTCCACCTCTCTGCCACTGTTCATGCCTTTTTCCTCTCCTCTCTTCTCGACTAGCTAAGTCCTATCACACTTCAAGGCCCAAAAGCAAAATTGTTTCTGTCCGACCTTTCAACCCAGAGTTCATATCTGACAATCATACATCACCTAGTAACATCTTTTGTTTGATTTGTTAGCTTTTACATTGTATTTCTTTTTCTATGTGTTATCTCCACAGCAGAGTGGGACCATGTTGTATTTTTTTGCACCTCTACAGCTATTAGAAAACCACCTCTGTGTGCAGGAAATCAATAAATACTTTCGATTGACTCATTAATGTAAGAAAAAAAGGTGAAGAGAGGAAAAAGAGCAAAAGACTAACGAGTAAGAATGCATAACGTTTTAAAAGTGAAAGGGCATAACAAAAATCCGAAAGAATCCCTAGAACAAGTTTTACTTCACTGAATCTTATCAAAGAATTGGGCCTGGTAGAACAAATAACATGATACATTTATTGTTCATACAGTCAGTCAGTGCAAAGCTCAAACTGTACTTAGTGAGCTTGTCCTCCAACTAAAGGACTGTATTTTGCTTTAGTTACTCAGACAATTGCCTCAAAGTTATTTTCTCAATTACACCAGACATTTTAAAGAGTAGGAGATCCAGTTTAGGAAACCATGTTTCGACAGTGGATATATACAAATCCAAACCATGTAAAAAAACGTGGCTTACAGCAAGAACATATCTTACAGATATTATTTTGTCAATTGTGACAACATATAGAAAATAATACTTGGATATGTTAAATAATGACAAGAAAATATCACTGAGTCTAAAATAAGTAGCTCAAGAGATCATTTGCATTAAATGGGCTCTATTACCTCTCTTCTAAAACCCAATAATAATAATACACCATCGGGAATAATATTCCTACTTCTTTAAAAATAAGATAGAATCTAAGCATGTATTTTGCAGAAGCTACATCATTAAAAGCTCTGTAACATTGGGACATTAAAAGCTATATAGGACTGTACAGAATTAACACTATGTAACAATATGTTTTAAAGCTTCAAGTACACTTAAATACATACAATAATAAGTGACATAAAGAGCATTTTAAACAGAAGTAATTGATGTTTTGCCTAGACTCATGAACCAGCTTATATACCTTGCTGATTTCATTCTCAATTTTTTGTAAATCACTGTAACCACATATCTGTTAATGAGTTATATATCTAAAAAATACAATATTCTAATTTGTTTTCATCAATTTAGCAAAGTTTTAGGGAGGGTATAAATAAAATATTCAGTTGACAGAAAACTCAGTTTCTTTCTCATTCTTTCATAACACAAACCAAGTCTTTGTTTATATCATCTGTTTAAAAGATAATGATTTAAAAATGCTAAAATAGTATTGTCCTTATAATTATATTGGTTCTACTTATGAAAGATGAACTATTTTTAATCTTTTTATATACAATTGATAGTTCACATGTCAAAAAATATTGTATTTTCTTGCAAATTACTCATTAGTTATTTCCTCATTTCAAATTTTTTTTCACATAGATTTCCCAGAATATCTAAGACAGTAGCTTCTTTAAAAGTGAAATGTACAAAATAAATGACATGTCAACAAGTAAATTAGCATTCCCTTTCTGACCAGCTGGGTCATGTTTCCTTTTTCAAAATCCTCAGTCCCATGACACAAAATAATAATAATCTAAAAGACCTCATTAAATGATCAATATATTGACATACCTCTATAAGGAGACACATAGTGTTTTAATTGATTCCTTGAATCCATTAAATGGAATATTAAACCCAAGCCTCCAAATTATATTATAAGAGAACATTTCCTTTATTTATTAATTTTCTTTAGGGTATGGATAATGGCATATGACAGGATTCAAGAACTTTTATATTTAACCAAATAGTAAAAAAAAGTCCAATTTTCACTAAATATTTCATACAATCATCACAACGAAAGTTATAAAAGACAAATTAAACCATGTTTACTTACCAAAAAACTTCCAAAGGCTGAATTAAATATTGCAGCTGCCTATAGAGAAAATAAATGGGGGGAAAAAAACTCACTGAAAGTAAATAGGAAAAGGAAAAGCAAAGATTATCATTCTCCCATCCCCCACTATTCAAAACCTTAAAACACTGACTCTGTAAAGCAAAGTTAGTCACTGCTTACAAAAAATGCCAGTAGCCTGTAGTTTACTAAGATAGATGAGCTACAGCTTAGGAATTCATAAATAATGGGTATCAAAAGCAAGCAGAAAAGGCTTGCCATAAGATGCTTTGAACCTATATGACAGTACTGAAGAATCATCCCCAATAGCAAATTGAAACCTTGTTGTTATTGATTTTGCTACTAAACTTAAAACAATCAGAGGTTGATTTGTTCACCAAAAAAAAAAAAAAAAAAAAAAAAAAAAAAAAAAAGAAAGAAAAGAAAAAGAGAAAAGAAAGGAAGAAAATTCATATTACTGGGAAAAGGAATACCAGAATTGCAAAGCAGACATTAAGTACTCTCCATCAAGGAGCATAAGACCTATGAGCTACACCCACAAAGTGAGATCTGTAGTTCCCATACAACGCACATTAGAAATATGAACAATGCTGTTAAGACCATGGAAGTTATTGCTACACGATTAATTCTAAAGTAGAAACAGGCAAGAAAAACTTCTGTTTGGTGTTCAAAATTCAAAGAAGAAATACTTGACTTTGAGCTTACCTAAATATCCCGGGAATACATAGTAGATATAATATAGTTCTTAACTTTGATTCAATCACTACAGTCCATGAAGCTACAACTGAATTCTGAAAGCTTCTCACATGACCTCCAAAAGATAAAAACTCGTATAATATCCAATTTGATGAAAAAAAAAGAGAGAGAAAGAAAAATAATAAAAAGCGGAAGGAGGGGCAGAGAAAACATATTGACACCTCCTGTGGATCCAGAGCAGAATTAAATTAATCATCATGGACATTAGCAGCCACATTGTAGTAAGAAGAGGATGTCAGTTTAGCAAGTTTGAATAAAGTCCAAAGCCAAGCTAAGAGCTGTAGCTGAAAATGCCTTCTGCTCCAGAAGAGAATGCAATGAGAATGCATGGGTAATGAGATCCTTGGCTCCAGAGAGCTTAGCTCTCCTATTCAAGTTCATAATTAATTCAAAGCTTTGATAATTTCATTAGATTTCTCCTGTGCTGGCCTTATCAATAAAAGATGGCACTGGACCACAGCTCCGCTGTGGCATAAACATAGGCACAGGCACAGACCAGGGAAACCTTTGCTTCCTGACAGGGACAATGGCATATGGTATTTCATGTTGTACAGGGAGCAGTGAAGAAAAAAAAAAGATTCGGCTAAATAAAACATCACAGATGACAAATGTAAACTGTAGCAACATATTTAACACATCTTCCTAGTATCCGATTATGGATGATTCAGGAAAAAGTTTTATGTGCAGAGAAAAATAAGTAAAACTGTATAAATAAATGAGTTGTGGGGAGATCAATAGGGAACACTGCCTTCCTTTTGATAAAAATGTAATTCGCCACAAACAATGTTTATTTCTAGACCCTATTTTGTGCTTAGAACGAGTTTCTCTCTTTTTAGTAAAGAAATGAGGTATTCCTGTCTGAGCTCCTCTCTTCCAAATTTGTTTCTTTCCAGTGCCTTTCACCAGCCTTATACTAGATCACTAATAGTTTTGCCTAGCATTTAAACAAACAAACAAACAAACAAACATGGAACATTAGAAACAAAAAGACTCAGAAGTCAAAGTAAAATAAGTATTAACTACTACTCAGTAGATCAAATCGCTATACTCCCACTCCATCCTGTTCTCTTTTAACCCAAACCCAAGCAATACATTTTATGTGGATTGGCTATGTTCCTGCATTTTATAAAATGATGGTGATGACAGTGATGAGATATCTTAGGTATCCAAAGATGCTGCAGGCTAACTTCTTAGCTATTTTCCTGACAGTGGTGATAGATTTGAAATCACTCACCATGCAGTGGGCTCTGGCAACCACTGGTGACTTGGCTGATTAAGGTCCTGGGTTCCCTGAAGAACCATGTGAAATCTGACACCAAACCAAGGATCCTGGGCTCAATAGCAACAGATAATTAAGCTAACAGTTGGCTCAATTTTGCCCTGCAGCATAGGAAGCCATTAGGTTTTCCAGAGTTCCAAAGAGTGATGACAAATATTTGGAGAGCTTTTAATTGATATATAAAAACAAGCGTATCTTTTGACTTAAGGGGGAATTCCCAGCTCCTCAGCATGAACTACAAGGCCCTCCATGAACAGGTCTCTGTCCATCTCATTTATTGCCTCAAAATTTATATTCGGACAGCACTAAACTACTTGTGATTCCCCACACTCATCATGCTGTTTCTTACCTCTTTGAGCCTTGGCCTGGAATGCCCTTCTGCCTGCCAGGGAACTCCCATTTATCTTAGTGACTCAGCTTAAGCATCGTCCTTCCAAGAAGCTTTCAGTCACCTCCTCAACACTCACACATCCATACCTCTGGGTGGCCTGAGTGTCCCCATACCTGCTGTCACAACATCCTGAGCATACTTCTGCCCTGGCACTTGTCACACTATTGAATGACCCATCTACATGCCTCCCTGCCCCACGAGAGACTCAAGTCTTCTAAGGAAGGACTCTGACGAAGCTCCTGAACACCTCCATGTTTGCTATTTGGATTTCTAAAATAAGTAGGATTCCCAGAAATGTCCAAAGTCTACTTCTCCAACTACATTATTCTATGTGTTTGGCAGAATCCAAGGACTGGCAGACAAAGAAGACTGGATCTGCCACCTGGCACCACAGCCAAGCAAGCAGTGGAAATGACCTTTAGATTTTGGTCTCTCACCCAGTATAAGTATCTCTCTCACAGCATCGTATTTTACTTCTCTTAACCTCCCTATTCTTATATAGTTATATACATACGCTTAATGTGATATAAAAAATGTTTTAAAATTTGCCACCACTATACAGCAATAGAGTTAGTTAAATAAGATCTAGAATTACAAAGGAATACTCTGTAGCCATTAAAAAGACGACCTGCATATACTGATATTAAAGCAGGCTAAGATATTTTAAGTAAAAAAAGCAAGTTTCAAAACAGTGTGTGTAATTCCCTCAGTATGTGTTTCTCCACACCACCATGAAATTCACCCACCACCAGTTGGGTTTTCTACAATTCAACTCATTTCTGACATTTTCTATCCTCAAATAGCATCAGATTCCCCAGGTTAAGGGTTCAGAACCACAAGGCTGTCCCCACTTCAGATGTCAATCAAAAGTCAAGGCTGTCACCTGTGCTTCTGACCAACTGCCTATAAATCGGAGGTTCCACAACCCAGTGCCCTCCAGTTTGATTAATTTGCTAAAGCAGCTCACAGAACTCAGCTTACTCACTAGATTACTGCTTTATCATAAAAGGCTATAACTCAGGAACAGCCAGATGGAAGAGATGCAGCAGGCAAGGTATGGGACAAGGCTGTGGAGCTGCCATGCCCTCTGATCGCATGCCTCTCTCATCACCTCCAGTGCTCACCAACCCAGAAGCTCTCCAAACCCATCCTTTGGGTTTCTATAGAGGCTCCATTACATAGCATGATTGATTTCAACATTGGCCACTGGTGACTGAACTCAATCTCTAGCCCCTCTCCCCTCCCCAGAGGTCCAACCTTCTAATCTCCGGTTGGTTCCCCTGGCAACCAGCCCCATCCTCAGGTTAGCTAGGGGCTTTCCAAAAGTCATTATTTAGCATAACAAAAGACACTTTTTCCAGCTCTCTTCACTTAGGAAATCTAATCATTTTAGGAGCTCTGTGCCAGGAATTGAGACAAAGACCAAATACGTATTTCTTATTATAATCATAATATCACATTCCTATTGTGTAAATGTGTACACACACACACACACACACACATATATACACAGACAAGTAAAAAAAACCCACTTTTTTTCTGAAAGGGATCACAGAAAAAACCTCTTAACTATGATTAAATTTGTTTGAAAGGAATTGAGTGGGGGTCATTTTTATTTTTCATTTTCTTCTGTCTGTCCTGTTTGTCTTCTTTTTTAAACGTGTTGCATTTCTTATCTGGGCAGGAAGATGTTGAGCCATTTACTGTTCGCATTTTAAATCCCTTTGTGTTAAAAATGGAATACATATTTTATTTTTAAATAAAATTAAGATTTCAATTCCTACTTTGCACGTTAGTGATATCTCTTGCTGGCTGCCCGATAAGCTGGAGGTTGAGAACCCTCTGGAACATACATCAGTGTGCTGGGGGTATGAGAAGCCACAGGATGAAGAGAGGACACCTTCCACAAGTATCCGTAGCATGTGAATATTTGGTTTTGAAAATAATCCAAAAATGCACTTTCATTTTTATATTAAAACAAACATGGATGTGTACAAACTTCATGTACTGAGATCAAACGTGAACCACCAAAGACAATTTGTTCTTTTTTTTTTTTTTTTTTTTTTTTTTTTTCGGGCCGCGGGCCTCTCACTGCTGTGGCCTCTCCCATCACTGTTGTGGCCTCTCCCGTTACGGAGCATAGGCTCCGGACGCGCAGGCTCAGCAGCCATGGCTCATGGGCCCAGCCGCTCCACAGCATGTGGGATCCTCCCTGACCAGGGCACGAACCCGTGTCCCCTGCATTGGCAGGCGGACTCTCAACCACTGCGCCACCAGGGAAGCCCCAAAGACAATTTGTTCTGAAGGGAGGACCCCTCAGTTTATATGACCAGACTGTCTTAGGATATGAGTTTCCTCTCCTCTGTCTTCTAGAAGCCACACCTGAGAGAGTCCATTGATTTTTTTTTACGACTTTTTTTTATTTTACTGAAGTACAGTTGATTTACAATGTTGTGTTAATTTCTGCTGTACAGCAAAGTGATTCAGTTATACATATATATATTCTTTTTCACATTCTTTTCCATTATAGTTTATCAGAAGATATTGAATATAGTTCCCTGTGCTATACAGTAGGACCTTGTTGTTTATCCATTC